TGGAGCCTCAATCCGATCAGCCATGATGCTATCAAATAGTAGAGCAGGCTTGAGGGACCAAATGATTTGCTTCTGCTCCCATCTCTTACTTCCTCAAGTTTTTCTGCTGTGGTGTTGGGATTGGGTGTCTTCCGGCTGAGCCAGGTTTGGTCCTCTGATGGCTGGTGTATTGGATTCCATGGCATGGATTTAGTGGTTATATTTTGGCATGAGACTGTGGACGTGTTGTTTTGTGTAGTGTTGGAGACCAACTCCATTCACACAATAAAAACCAAAAGACCTGCAGATGCTGTAAATCAGGAAAACACCCTAGAAATTGATGGAAAGGCTTAGCAGGTCTGGCAGCATCTGTGGAGAGAAATCAGTTGTTAACGTTTCCGTGGAAGAGTCACTCAACCCGAAATGTTAACTCTCATTTCTGTCCACAGATGCTTCCATTCACACGATGTTGACTCCCATTTTGCTGTATGCACCTTGCCAACTACTGTGTTTGCTAAAGTCAGGCTCTGTCCATATTGATGTTTGTCACTCTGCATTGTTCTGGCTTCAGTCTATCCTTCTGTCACTTTCATCCTACATTCCACTCTTGGCACATACATTGCTGCTTGCCTGTGCTTCTCTCTATCTCACACACGCACTCACCCATTCTTCTGCCCTTATTGTATGGCGCTGTGATCCATGCTTAGACTTTTCCAGTGCCAATACATCTGCCTATTCACCCCTTCACTGACGAAGAGGCCAGACAAGTCAAGTTTAGGGCAGAGGATGAGGTGTATTGTTATTGTGTGAAGGATGCAGCCAGCAGGCCTGTCCATGCATAACACATGTACATGCTATTTTTGCCTATAACCTGTTATGATCCCAGCTAATGATGATGATATTAAACAAGTCACATTTAAGAGTGGAATGTGACCTGATAAACGGAGTTGTATTTTTTCTTTTGTTTGTTGAGGAGGTCAATCACTGAGCATATGCACTATAGACTCTCTATGCACTTTAAATAAAAGAAAACAAGAGTTGGTTAAACAAGAGAAAAGCATAAATTATATGACACTACACAAGAACTATTGGAACAATCTCATTACAAATATCAGAAAGACAGATTCGTCCCTTTTGCCCTGGCAATAACCTCACACTCAAACCTCAGTAGAAGAGTCAACCTTATCTCCTTGTCAAAGCTGGTGAGGCTGTAATCCGATTCCTTCCAGCAACTTGTCTATCCATTACATGCTATTTTCTTTGATTAATGTTTCTCCCCTTTGTTAATATTTCTCAGATACTTGACACATTTGTGGGAATCGTAGCCTCTGAGCATTGTGTTAAAAATTTCTTAAATTAATTAAAGAGGTCTTCTCATCTCATTCCCATTTATCAGTTCAAAAGAACTGAATTTCTAGGGGCATCCCAAATGAAAATCATTAGGACTTTCCTGTCAATAAGTTCTAATCATGGTCTTTAATGTCACTTTTGTAATGATCCTTGAGATTGTTGATAACAAACTAAGGATATAAACTGTTTTTATTTCCCAAACTATTTATTCATTCACTGAAATTAAACTTATTACAAAGTGGAGAGGAAAAAAATGCTAACAAGGATACCTCTAGTAACTGTGAGGGGAGGGGAGGGGGGGAGGAGTCCAGCATTGAATCCCTGCTCATCTGGCAAATGGAGGAAATGTGGCGCATTGAAGACCTTCCTCTGAGAACTCTCCACTACCCAATTTCCTCTGATTGAGGCTTAGCCTGTGGAAGATGAGAGACCGGAAGCCACCTCTAACTGATTGGGATCAGGTCTTCTTGATGCCAGGTTGTATGTGAATACAACCCAAAGTAAATTCCATCTGAGCATGAATACTAGCATGACATTGATGGTCAACAAATGCCATGATGAGAAATTTACAAAAGACATTAGGAGATTAAAAAAGATGGTGTCCATGCAAAGGGTCCGAGAGGATTCAATTTAATTTGTCTTCAGAAGTAAAACGATATAATTCCACGCCCCTGTCACATTATGCATCCTTGAGATTGCTTATGTGAACTGGTCAGTTACATCTCATTATTTTCTGAATTTATCCCCTAGCTATGGGGGCTAGAATCAAGGAATCATAGACATTAATTAGGTTATTTTGTAGTTTAACTTTGTTCCACTAATCCTACTGTATCATTAATAAATTGTTCAATTTTTTAAAGTTACAAACTTGGTATCTGGTTTCAGTTATTCACAAAGTCAATAGTTTTTTTCCAAACCAGCAGCAAAAGATAGGGCCTGCACTGAAGTATCACTTAATGTTTGTCATCTCTGGGTAAAACACAAGATCATTCACAGATGGTGAAGTAATTTCTTTGCTCATTAACGGGATGAGGGTGTTGCTGGCTAGGCAGCATTTATTGCCCATTCCTAATTGCCCAGAGGGTGGTTCAGTCAAACACATTGCTGTTGGTCTGGAGTTACATGTAGGCCAGACCATGTAAGGATGACAGTTTCCTTCCCTGAAGGACATTAGTGAACCAGACGAGTTTTTCCTGACAATCTGCCATGGTGGGATTTGAACCCGGGTCCCCAGAACGTTATCTGGATCTCTGTATTAGTAGTCCAGTGATAATAGCACTCGGCAATTGCCTCCCCCAATATAAAGAAACAATGACCTAGGCCACTGACTCTGTATTCAGGGACTAAGAATAAATAATTTCAGCAATCCAGAGCATGCCACTTGGTGCTTCCTTAGCAGCAAGATAAGTGAAATCGTTGCCTAAAGACATCTTCCAGTTCTGAAGAAGGGTCACTGGACCTGAAATGTTAACTCTGCTTTCTCTCACAGGTGCTGCCAGACCTGCTAAATTCCTCCAGCAATTTCTGTTTTTCGTCTCAAATCTGTCCCTTCAAGTGGACATGGGTTAGCTGCTAAATGCCAACAGGTATTTGAGTTACAAAGCCATGGATAATTGGAGATAACTACTATCCAAAATGATATGGAGCTGGAAGTCAAATTAGGTCATTCAAAATTGTTCTGTGATCGGGGTCAGGGGGAGGACTGCAGGTGAGGCATGTGTGACATCCCAGAGGATTAAAACTGCGGAGCCTTATCCTCTGCAACTGCCCAACAGTTATGAGGTTCTTGCAAGCTCTGCAGGCGAGAGTGAGGACTACAAGGGAGAATGAGCAAACCAATCACAGCACCTTGGCACAGGGAGCCATTCAAGTAGGGAAGGATATAAGAATGTTGTTGTGGTAGGGGACAGTATAATTAGGGAATAGATGCTGTTCTCTGCAGCCATGAGCAAGTTGTGTTGCCTGCCCAGTGCCAGGATTGAGGACATCTCCTCAGAGCTGAAGAAAAACTTCGAGAGGGATCCAGTCTCATTGTCTACATCAGTACCAACAACTAGTAAGTGAGATTTTGCTGAAAAATCTTTAACAGTTAGGAGCTAATTTAAAAGTAGAATCTCTAAGGTAATAATTTCTAGATTAATACTTGAGCCACAGCCAAACTGCTGTAGGATAAATAAAGGCAAGTTTAAGGAAGGAAACTAGTATCCTTACCTGGTGTGGCCTACATGTAACTCCAGACCCACAGCAATGTGGTTGACTCTTAACTGCCTTCTGGGCAATTAGGGATGGGCAATAAATGCTGCCAAGCCCTCAGTTATATGTCTAGTTATACCTCAGATGGGGTGTTGTGCACAATTCCCTTCCACGTTTCTTTCCCAAGCCACACATCATCCTGACTGGCAACTATATCGCCGTTCTTCACTGTCACTGGGTCAAAATCCTGAGGCCCTCTGAACAGCATTATGGGTTTGCCTACCCCACAGGGACTGTAGTGGTACAAGGAGACAGCTCAGCACCACCCACCTTTTCAAGGCAGTTTGAGATGAGCAATAAATGCTAGCCCAAATAGCAATGACCACATCTCAGTAAATTATCATTTTAACATGGAGGTGCCAATTTCAAATGATGCCAAGACCTTGGAGAAGGTACATAGGATATCCGCACCCGAGATGACAGAATTCAGTTATTTTGGGAGATTGGTGAAGGTGGGGTCACGTTCTTAGGGTAGAGAAAGTTAAGGGGAGACCTAACATTAATTATAATGTTTTAACTAGAGCAAGTAGGAAGAAACTTCTTTGGAGAGTGAGTTTAAAGATTTAAATTACTGGCAAAACAACAAGAGAGGACACAGCCACGTTTCTTGTACAGAAAACTTTTGTGACCTAGAATGCACTACCTGACACGGGGGTGGAATTAAATTATTTAGGAAATTTTATAAGGCAATTGGACATGTATTTGGCAAGTACAACTAAATTCGACTGTTCTTTCTAAGAACCAGTACAGATATGATGGGCTCTAAGATTCTGTGATTCCCAAGTCTTAAACCAAAAATTTCGAGGCGTTGAAATGAATGACGCTGAACAAGTATAGATTATGACACATTGTATTTTTTAATTGATTCATGGATTATTTAAAAATGATAAACAAAAGTAAAATATCGGCAAAAGTCTTCAAGTTCTAATTGTTCACTATTCATGGTTGTTTCCACAATTTAAGTAACCCCGTAGAAGCGTTGCATTGGCAAAATTTCCCGGCGGTCGTAAAACAAAATTGAGAGGTGCTTCTTATTGGAGATTGTCGGTTGTAGAATTTGAGTAATTTTACCCGATGACAATTCTGCCCTGCTTTGCGCCAACTTCTAACCGTATAGAATTGACGTACAGCATTGGACGAATAGTGAGCTCCTGATAGGGTTAAAAACACTTTGTCCCTTTGATAAGTTGCTTTTGAATATTATTTCCTCAATGTTTGTAGTTTGAACAACCACCCTCGCCTTTCTGAAGTTGAGTATAGTTTAGCCATAAAACACATCTACGTGTAAATTCTGTGATTTACTGTTTGATTTAAAGCCGTGAGTTTTCTGCAATGGTGCAGTTTGAGGAATTACAATGAGTCCCTTTCAATTTGGGCACTGTAGTTTGTGGGTGGAGTTCGTCTCTGGGAATGTGAACTGCGCCGAGCCGGTAACAGACGTGCGGAAGGGTTGGGTTACACCGCTGGGAGATTGCGGCCAGTGACTGTACAGTGAGAACAAAACAGTCACGTAAGAGACAGGAATGGCGCTTCGAGATGAGCTTTTGAAAGTGATCTGGCATGCATTTACCGCTCTAGACGTCGACAAATGTGGAAAAGTGTCCAAATCTCAACTCAAGGTGAGTTTGAGATTCTTTTTGTTGAGTTTGGTAGCTATTTGCATTGAGTTAGGCTGGAGGTGAGGGGACCCGGGCTGTTTTTCGAGGGGTGGGGGGCGGGATCAGAGAGCGACAGGGCTGTGTTGAGAGGGGTTTGTTGGACTGTGGGAGCTGCACTGGTCTGGCCAGTGTTAAAGGGGTGGGGGTGCTGTACTGGTCTGGGCTGTTGTGTTGAGGGGAGTGAGATGCTGGTTGGGGTTGAGGGTTGTTTTAGGCTGTGGGACCTGTGTGGTGTGGGCTGTGTTGGGTGAGGGTTGGACTGTGGGACCTGTGTTGATGTGGGCACTGTTGGGTGAGGGCTGGACTGTGGCAAGGGGTTTCCTGGACTGTGGGACCTGTGCTGTTGAGGGCAGGGCAGTATGAGAGATACTCCACTTCCTTCTCTTCCTTGGCATAGACCTGCAGGCTGCTACTGTATACTTTCTGCTTTACTGTTACCATTCATTTTCCACTAAAACTGTGACACTTGGTATCTGATCTTAGCAATGAAATTTGAAATCAGATTGTACAAGATCCTTTAATGATTGTCAAATGTTTGAGGGATTTCTAGAATTTGATCTGCCTTTTGAAGGGATGAGGATATTTTCAAAGTTCATCCACATTTTTTCCCATAAAATGTAACTGAGAAAAATTCATTTCTTCTTTAAAGAAGAGATTTTTAAAATCTCTTTCAGCAGGCCATGAATAACGGACTAATTTTTTGTTCTGTCTTCATTTGCAATGTTATTTCTTTTGGGTGTTCCCTGTTTTAAGATGTATTAGTGGATGGTGAGATGCTAAATATTTACTGCATTGTGCATAACGTGTTTGTTTCCTTGTGTATTTAACTGCCATCAATTAAGGAACTTGTTAGTGAAACTGCCTCGTAGGCTGGATTTTAATATGTAGTTGTATAATCCAGGACATTGTGGGTCAACCTGTGGCACATGGACTGCAGTGGTTCAAGAAGGCACCTCACCACCTTCTCAAGGGCAACTAGGGATGAGCAATAAATGCTGGCCAGCCAGTAACCCTCATGTCCCACAAGTCGATATAAAGACATTTGCACTCGGAGATGCATGTAATTAGAAGGGGTGGGGGAACAGAGAGAACTTGGCTCAAAATATTGAGGAAGTATGGATGAAATCGTATTATCTGCCTAATAATGCTGCTCCTGAATGTACTCTTCTGTTCCCAACTCTCCGTTCCTGTGTTGAAATGCAACTCAGCTCATTATAATGATCCTGCCTGTAGAAACCAGAAATGCCAATTTTCTGGAATTATGCTGATTATCCTGACTGAGCTGCATTCTCTTTTTTTATTGGTTGCAATCAATGTTAATCCATTGCATGATTTTGACCCTGACCCTACCCTGTACCCAGTGTGCTTAAGTGATAGTTAGGTAACTTGACGTTTTTAATTTCTGTGCTTGAAGAAGTTTGATCATTTTTTGGATTGTTTTTGCCCATTTTTGTGTACATCAATAAGATTGCCAGGAAATTAGGTTGTGAATGCCAAAATGGTCAGTGAATGGTTACAATTTCCATTGTGACTTCTTAATTGTGTGCCTGAAGGGAACTCAGACCTATTGTTACAGGGACTGTCATAACCAAGAGTTTGTGCATTCTAAAGCCTCCTGGATGAAACTGGTGCTTTTGTTGATGTGCGTTTCAAGTTATTTTCAATGGGAAAGCAGAAGCATAACTGCATCAATTCCATATCCTTGCTCTTCTGTGAAATAGGATATTTTAGAAAATTTCATCCTATGTTTTTAAAATTTGTAATCATCTCACCCATGCTGTGGTTAGCATGAGGTCAGAAGTCAATACCAGGTTACAGTCCAATAGGTTTATTTGAAATCACAAACTTTCACTGTGGGGCAATGCTACGAAAGCTTGTGATTTCAAATAAATCCGTTGGACTATGTTGGACTATCTGATGTCGTGTGACTCCTGACCTTGTGCACCCGTCCAACACTGGCACCTCCACATTGTGTTTAAATAGGTGATGAGGTCCCAGGTTCCACCCTCTTTTCTAAGTTAGGGGGTATTCAGGTGCCACAGTTGGCTTCAATTCATTTTGAGATAAAGAAATGAAAAAAAAAACAATGTTTTTACTGCAAGTCAGTGAGTTATGCTGTGAAGGACAGATGTAGGAGTTGAAGATTGGGTTTAACTGTGATGCATCAAGCGGTCAAATCATCTACCTATGTCCATTGTTTGCATTATACCTGATGGGTGGGGGATTTGGTATGCACCATTACTTTTAGTGGAATTTAAAATAAAAGCGATAGCACTGAGGGGAGGAAAAGAATATTCCATTAAATTTGTTTTTAGCCTCTTTTTATTTAAAATATAACTCAGTAAAGTATAACCAGAGCTAAGGAAGGCGTCAGACGCAGTCCACACAGAACTGTGATTGTGGCACGTACAGATTATATTTGAGGCTTCTAGCCTTGTTTTTCCATTGATTGTTACCAAAAATTGTTTGCTGCGTATCCAGGCAACTACTCTGCTTTCAGGAGTCATGCAGAATCAATACATAAATGCATAGGGTAGCAGTTTTAATGAGGGCATTTGTATTTCAGTGGCTCAGATCAGCTCATTCATTACAGGCAAAGAAATGACCCTCCATCATCATGGCTTGTATGATTCATCTAATCTCTGGATGAACTTTTTAGGTTATAGTGGATGTTGGTTTTTGAATCTTTTTTGCTCGAATTGTAGTAGGGCAAATTGACTTTCCATTAATAAAAATGCTATGCCTGAGGGTTTGTTGACCACTCACTTTATACACTGAGGGTATTGTGCATTGATTTTGCTGGGATAATTTGAGTTTCAAGGTTTTTAGGATGATTTAAGTCGAGGTTTTACTTGTAATTTTACTGAATACCTAATAGTTATGCATACAGACTTTATCTTGTCTTTGTATCCGAGCTTTTTGTGCTGCAATGGTATTCCACAGATAATAGGCTTACTCTGTTATTGAATCCAACTGACTATTCTTCATATAGGAGCCTATACTGTGAGTGCCAACAGGCATAAATTCTAAATTTAATTGCAGCACTGGATGAGCATTTAAAATGCCAGGGCACAGGAGGCTATGGACCAAGTACAGGTAGATGGAATTATTGCAGCTTGGTGTTTGCTTATCAGCATAGACATGGTGGGCTGAAGGCCCTGTTTCTCTGCTGAATGTCTTAGATACCTGTAAACATAAAGTATTTTATAACATAACCTATGTTAGGGCATTTTATGTTATGTTAATTACTTCCCACAAGTCTGAAGTTCAGAATGTTTAATGTGGAACAATTGTTAAACAATTATTAAGAAAAGTTATTGCTTTTAAAAAGTGCAAGAAGTCAAAAATAGTACTTATGTATAGAGCGCCTTTAGGCTCTTCATGGGAACATTATCAAACAAATCTTGACACCAAACCAAAGCGAGATTCAGGTAAATAAATGACCAAAGGTTTGGTTTTAGAGAGAGGTTTCCAGGAGTGTCTTAAGAAAGAGAAGTGGAGAGATTTACAGAGGGAATTCCAAAGCTTTAGGCTTTGATGGCTGAAGACTTGATTGCCAATGGTTGCATGATTAAACTGGGTATATCCCAAAGACCACAGTTGGGGAAATGAAGATATCTTTATGTTGCAAGGCTGGAGGAGATTGTAGAGCTATTTTGGGCCAAGGCCCTGGGACAGTTCAAGAGCGAGGCATGGCCTTACTGCAAGCCATTGCATGTTTGTGGGGCATAGATTGCCTGGGACTTGGTGAATATTATGGCAAGAGAAGCTGACTTTTGGATGAACTCAAGTTTACAGAGATAAGAAAATGGAAGACAGAAAAGAGATGCATTAGATTAGTCAATCTAGAGGTGACATAAACATGGATGAGGATTTCAGCAGCAGGTGAGCTAAGAGGGCCCATACTCTGGTATTGTGACAGAAGAGATGTGGATATCACCCGAGAGTAAAAAATGACACCAAGGTTGTAAACACTCTGATTCAACCTCATGACAGTTGCCAGAGAGAGTAATGGAATCCGTGGTTAGGGATTAAGGTTCTTATTGGAAAAACCAAAAACAGTCGTTTCAGTTGTTGCAACATTTAGTTGGCAGAGATGTGTTTGTTCATCTAGCACTCTATGTTGTATGTAAGCAGCCTGAATTTAGAGACTGTAGAGGTTGAGATGATGCTCTGGTAGGCCTGGGTGTCATCAGCACACACGCAGAAGCTAACACTGTGGTATGACCAAAAACAGAAGTTGCTGGAAGAGCTCAGCAGGTCTGGCAGCATCTGTGAAGAAAAAATCAGAGTTAACGTTTCGGGTCTGGTGACCCTTCCTCGGGGTCTTTTTTTCTTCACGGATGCAGCCAGACCTGCTGAGCTTTTCCATCAACTTCTGTTTTTGTTCCTGATTTACAGCATCCACAGTTCTTTCGTTTTTACTGTGGTGTGACCGATGGGCAGCATTTGGTTGACAAATAAGAGGGCAAAGGTATATCTGTAGCAGACACCAACGTAACTATGATGGAGCAGGAAGGAAGACATTTGCAGGCAATGTTCCCTCTCAACCATGCAACTCCTTAATGGTCCACGTATGCCAATCGGTGTGTGGAGGCATTGACTTCTGGATCCAGAATCTCTTACCATGCGTGGATCTTGGAAGTCCAGGCAGTGGCATGAAAAATGAGAGGGAATGTGGATTGCGGGAAATGCTCTGGTTACATCCGAATGAAGTAATTAAGAAATGAACTGAGTGCAGTTCCAAGCAGACATGCAAGAGGCACTGAAGGAGAAATGGTGTGCTTAGCTGTGTCAAAGGCTGCAAACAAGTCAGGAAGATTGAAGAGGAATCATTTACTTATGAAGGTGGATAAGTCACTGCCTATCGATTACTTGTCAATGGAAATTACAATTCATTTGCAGAGTATTCAGAAATATAATCTTAAAACAATAGCAACCAGCATGGATGGATTTGTGAT